AAAAATGAAAATAAAAAGTGGGAATGAAAAGAGCAGGGCCAGCAGCGCCCCCCTCACAAAACACATTCCTTTTCTTTCTCGCTCGCGCTCACACGCAAAGTCCCCGCTGCGCGTTCCTCGACAGCAGCTGCGGCCCGCCGAGCAGAGCAGTCCTGCTGCAGGAAATATTGCAAATCTTTTCTTTACAAAAATTAGCTGTCGAAACTTGGAAAATTGTAATATAATGTGGAGATTTCAACGCACGTCAGCGACGAGAGAGATCCCCCCTCTACGCCTCGGCCGCGGCGGGACTTCCCCTCTCCTTTCCTCTCCTCCCCACCCTTCCCCCCTCTCTCCCTCCTCCCGCGCGGTCAGCGAGTTTTGTGCCCGTTCGTTATTAGCCACATTAGCAGCCCGCAGCAGCTAGGGAATCTGGTTCTGGTTGGATCGGAAACTCAACAGCCGCGCGCAGGCTGGCGGGCGGGGAGGAGCGGGCGGGGGCAGTGCGAATGCGCGGAGGAGGCTGCGGAGAGCAAAAGAAACGGGGGAAATAAAGAAAAAACAGCGCAGCTGCATTGCGCTCTCCGCGAAAGTTACGGTGGTCTTAACGGACGCTGCGGGATGAAAAATTAAGTGAGGGGGAATGGATTGTAAGTTTGCGCTTCCCTGCTGCTGCCGCCGCGGGGCCCGCGAAGATACTGTGTGCCCCGCTATTCCGCGAAACCGTCCTGCTGCGTGTGCGTTCCGCCCCGCCCCGCCCCGCCCGCCTCCGACTAGAGGAGCAGCCCCGAGCACGTCGCCGACACGTCAGAAATGAGAGTGCATTCGTCATGAGGCGCGCAGGGCGAGTGGCATCGTCGGATCGTCGGAAACTCTGTTCGAAATGAAAGATCAGGTCGTTTGCTTTAGTACCGGACCGGAAGATATGCTACTCACTCCGCGCGTGAACTATAGCCATAGAGGAAGCGAAACTCGAGCGCCAGCTCGGGCTGTATCTCGCTCGGGCTGTACCGGTATGGGCCGTTTCGCAAAAATGTTAAGGCCGATGGAAAGCTTGAAAGTTGAGATTATTTTTCGGCTAGCTTACACTCATTATCCATCTTTGACAGCCTAGGAGCTAGCGCCGGACTGCCCATTGAATCTGCCGCTCGCGGAGAGACCAGGGCTGCTACACATCTGTCTCTAGCAGCTGCTTTCAGTGCACGATCGGAGGCACGGGCCCTCCCGCCCCTCAACTCCCGCAACGCAAGTCGGGGACGCCGAAACGAGCCGCGAATATTCTCGGGCGGTTACCCCATCTCTGCCTCATGCTGTTGCTGCTGCCTCCTCTCCAAAAATAAAAATAAAAAATATATACAAAAGTGGGCATTTTTGTGGCGAAGCGACCTGGCGGCGCAACGCGGTGAGGGTAGAGGCCCAGGAGGAGCCAGGAGGAGGAAGAGAGAGGAAGGGGGAGATTGGAATCTCACAGGCCCGCGATGAAACCCACAGGCCGAGTCGTCCGTCCCCCTCTGGTTTTCCGTCTTCAAACAAAAGCATTGTGTTGATTGTGTTTATTAGCGGCGGGGTGAGGAGGGGGGCGGGGGGAAGGGGGCCTCCTGGAGGAGGTCCTTGGGCGGCAGGACGCCGCGGCAGCGACCAGGGGACCTGTAGGACCAGACATGTGTCCGGTAGCCTCCGTCACGGCGCCCACTGCGGCGGACAGGTCTCGTTTGGGTCCCGTTTTGGTCCCGAGCAGGGCAGGGTGGGACAGAGGACAGGCGGGGCGGCGTGCCCGGCAGCCCACCCAGCCGAGGGGACGCGATAGGCGCGACCTCGCCGGGGACCGACCCATCGATAGGGAACCGATACCGGATCGATGTATCGATGTATCGATGTGCGCCGCACACTGACGCACGGAAGCGATCGCCGACCTCCGCCGTAGAGTGTCGGCCGTGAAGAGGATGATCCAGACCAGATCCTGGCGGCCCGCCGCGGTCTCGCTCGCTCTCACGGGTGGCCCGCCCGCCCCGCGCCCCGCGCCCCGCGCACCTGTCCCTGGCCAGGCAATCTATTTAATCCTTTTTATAGCCTTGTCACACACGGGACGCAGCGGACGCGCGCCGCTCCGCACCGCCGCGGGGTGGCGAGGTGGCGACGAGGTGACCCCCTCCTCCCCCTCGTGCAGGTGGTGCCTTTGCCCCTCCCCCGGCCCTCCGCCCCTCTCTCTCTCACACACACACACATACACAAACACATTTTCTCTCTCTCACACGCACAACACTCTTTCCAATAAAACAAGCTTGTTGATGTGCGTTCCGCGCTGACGTATAGGAATGCCTCGGATGTCAACCGGGTGGAGAGATGACGCGACGAAAACTTTTGAGGAACGCCGTCGCCTCCAGCGGGAGCCTGCTGCGAGACGCGGCGCGCGCGCTGGCCGTCGTCGTCGCCGTCGTCGAGTCGGCAGGGGGGTCCTGCGTGGCGCGGGTCCCGCGCCACCCGAGCGGGGGTCCTGCGCGGCCCGGCCCGGCCCGACCCGACCGCAGCAGTCGGAGGAGTTTTCATATCAAATCCCCTCGGCATACTGATGGTGCGTTTAGCCCCGGTAATGGCCGCCGGTCCCGCGGCGCCATGGGAGCTGGGAGCCTGCCCCGGCCCCGGCCCCGGCCCCGGCCCCGGCCCCGGCCCCGGCCCCGGCCCGGCCGCGAGCCCACCGGAGAGTGCCGAACAGTCTCACGTCGCCTTTTACGAGGCAGTCATGTGATGCACGGAGGCGGCCGGCCCGTGGATCTCTCGCATCCCCTTCCCGCCTCACCTCCCCTCCCTCCTCAGAGGCCTAACCGGCCAATAATTTTTGACAATCATTACTTGGCGCTGCTGCTGCTGCTGCTTTTGGGTTCGGCCTGCCCCGCCCCGCCACGTCCCACCGGCCACAAACACGAGGAATGCCGCTGCGCTAAAAGCCCTCCTACTTTTGGTGAGGGGCCAAAAGCACCCGGCCCGACCGATTTGGTGGGAGTGGCTTAAAAGAAAGAATACGGTGCGACTTTTTAGAATGCATAAAAAAAAATCCTCACGTGCGCTGCCGTTTGTCGCCCCTTTTGCTCGCCGCCGCGCCCGGAGGGCCCGGAGGCCAAGGCGAGGCGGGGCGATCCGGAGGAGATAAAAGCTCGCCGTTGTTACTACTTTCTGCTCATTGACATTTTGTTAGCGCGGCGCCAGGGGGTAGGGGGGCGAGGGAGGTCACTCCGGGTCGCGGGGCTGGTCGCGCTCCGTGGGGCCGGCGGGCCGGGCCGGGCCGGGCCGCGGGGCAGCGAACCTTGAAATCACACGACCGACCGACCAACCGCGCCGCGAGCAAACGCCTTTCGCTCACGGGGGGAGACTAACGTAAGAAGTACTAGTAGAGAGAGAAAGAAAGGGGTGGGGGGCAAAAACGAGTGAGAGGGGGATGGAAGATCGTGTGAAGTTTGGTCGGCTGGTAAGCGTGTGCCGTACTGTGCGGTCGTCTCTCTCGCACACGGCGAGGGTAGCGCGCCGCGCGCACCTGCCGAGGCCCTCGTCATTAGGGGTGGGGCGCCTCGGAGTCTCGCGCTTTAGCCGCGCCGTGTCGCGCAGAACTACAGGCCGTTTGGGTCGATACTACTTGCGCAGCAGCCCGTTTTACGGCTCATCAAATCGACGACGACGGTAATGATGATGATAACAATAAAAAGAAATCCTGGTACTCGCTGCTCGGCGTGGCGGCCGCTCAGCGCGCGGGGCACAACGCCTCGCGGGGACATTTTCAATTTCGACAGACGGTTTTACTACTCGTGTCTGTCCGCCGTGTTTATGGAAGGCGCCGAGCGAGGCTGGCTCTGCCCCGGCTCCTTACCCGCGCGTGAGAGCCTCCTAGCGTCGCCGTGATCCCGACGACCGATCCTTTATGGGATCGTTATACGACCCCGACGGGCCTCAAACGCATAGTCTTTTCCATCAAAACCGGCCGTTTGAATTCAGCTGTATCGGACGGGGAATCAAGAGAGAGGAGGGCGGTGCAGAAGCAGTCGGCCCGCTGTTTGCTTGACTTGGACGACCTCAGGGGACGAGCGGAGCGGAGCGGCCGACGGAGAGAAAGGAGGAGAGTGCCTGCGAGATTCGGCTAAAAAGACAGTTAAAGTGGAGTTGCCCGGGTTGCGGTTTCGCGGCCTCACAGACATCCGGTAAAACGTTACAGCTCTGGCGCCCTTTGCTCTCGTTACCGCATCACGAGGTTTTTGATACTTTCACGACTGCAATCGTTGTACTGTCGTTTGAAAGGTGTCCCAGGAGAAGGCACATACACACGGTGACCGTACTGTATCAGTCTCTGAAACTGTCACTCACAGCTGCCGCATACCCTATTGAGAGCACGAGGAGTACCAAGGTGGCTGATGAATCCTCCGCACTTTTGCAGATATACTTTACCGCGCGCAGGTATGTCGGCGGGTTGCCTATCCGGCCGTGCCGTACGGTGTCGTGGTCAGCGGCGATGGGCAAACCCATAGGCGCGCCTGCATGCGGCACAGCATAACTACAGAAGAAGGTTTTAATCAGCCGCCTGGTTTGCAGCGTTTGCAGGCCACAAGCAGCTTCTGCTGCTAGAGGACAGGCAGCAGGCACGGCACAAGGCATATGTTATGAAAACTTTTGTAAGCAAAGGTGTATGTATGGTGAGAACGAAAAACGCGCCCGCCTAGGCAACTTAAGTTGCTCTGTCTTCTGTCGCATGCACCTTTGTCGCCTTCTCCTGGTAGAGCCAAGGTAGGCTTCTGAAATGACAGTGTATGTGGTTCTGCCGTTGCATCCTCACCGCTGCTCGCGTTTGACTCTCAACCCCTGTAACGGACTCGTGCGTCCACTTCATTAGTCTCCGTCACGCAGCCGCCACCCTCAGCTGTGGCCCCTCCCCCTCCCCTCCCACCGGCCAGACCACCCTTGCGGCTGGCGAGGGGTGCCGGGGGTTGCGCGCGTGCTAATGTGACTCGCGGCTCGTTTCGCGCCAGCTGCTCGCTCACCTCTTGTATACGTCGCTGGGCGCGAGCGTGTTGCGGATGGCGAATCTGAGCCTGGACCCGCTCGCGGTCCTGGCGACGACGGCGTCGTTCTATCCGGCGGCCACCCGGGCCAGCCGCATGGCACGGGCTGGGGCGGTCGTCGTCGGTATCCTGGTAGGGGTGGCAATCCCGGCCGGAGTCCTCATAAAGGAAGCGAATCTGAATCCGCTGCACTGTATCCGCAGTAAAGGGCGCACTACGCCAAGCACACACACTCACACACACACACGTGGGCACTGTCACATGTCGCGCCGTACGAGCGTCACTACGCGTCGCGGCGTCGAGCTGAGCGTCGTCGGCGTCGACTGCGCGCGGTCAGGAGATGGGGTGCGGCGGCGGCACGCTCCGTTCCACGCCGGCTCCGGGGGAAGACTGAACCGAACAGCGTCGAGCGCCGCTCCGCAGCCTACCTGCCCGCCGGCCGGCGTCGCGAGAGGTGGAGGGG